TACTCCCTGTGGTGTCGAAAGTGTTGAAAAGCCTGGTAGCTGACACTATCTGGAAATTTCTCAATGAGGAAAACACAGTACATACTGGTTAGCATGAATTTCGGAGTGGTCTCTCATGTGCCACCAACTTACTAACCGCCTAGGATGACTGGACACTTAGCTGGGACAACAGATAACTGGTACATGTTGTCTTTCTCGACCTAGCCAAAGCATTTGACAGTGTCCCACCCGCAGTCCTGCTTCACAAGATCATGTCAGCTGGTATAAGTGGACCCCTACTCTCTTGGTTCAAGGAGTACCTGGAGGGGAGTCAGTTCTGTACCAAAGTAAACAGAATAAGGCCAGAGTGGAGACCTCGACGTCAGGAGTATCCCAAGGAGCAATCCTAGGACCGCTTCTGTTCCTCCTGCTTGTCAACGATCTGCCAGATAAAATATCCTCACCCATCCTCCTCTTCGCTGACGACATAAAAATTTGGAGGGTGGTAAACGAAGTAGCTGATTGTACAGCATTACAAAAGGACCTGCAGCAACTCGAACTCTGGTCGTCGGAAAATGGGTTGAGCTTCAACCTGGAAAAGTGCATTGTAATGCACATCAGTAAATAAGAAGCAAGTACGGCCGACTTCCAGTACATGTTGAGCAACCGTGCTATCACCAGAGTGTCCATGGAGAAAGATTTGGGGCTCAACTTATCCGACGCTCCAACTACAAAGATATAACAACTAGAGCGAACGCCATTCTGAACTTTCTACGTAGATAGCTTGGTGCCCTCACCCCCGAACTCTCCCTCACCGTTTCCAAATCCTACGTGCGGCTGCATCTAGAGGTCTTCAATACGGTGCTCCCCCCCCCCCTACCAACACTCAAGAGAGACTCTAATCTCCTTGAAAAATTCAAAGAACCGCAACAAAATCAGTTGTGGGGCTAAGGGGAAAGACATATCCTGAAAGACTTAAACACCTAAACCTATTTACCCTAGGTTATCGTAAGAAGAGGGGGTGACCGTATTATGGCCTACAAAATCGCACTTCAGGGAAACCACGCAAACAAATCAATTTTGCCTGCAACTCAGTGGTCTTCACGAGGAAACCCCATTAAGAAAGCACACCAGAGAGCCATCACTATACTCAGGTCCAATCTTTTCTCCTTGAGAGTATGCGCTTTATGGAATGCCCTACCGCGACATACCGTTATAGCCCCCTCAGGCGACTCATCCCAGAGACGATTAGACAGTTATGTCACCTCACCTGGTCTACCACGAACGTGCTCCGTGAGTCACTAGCCCACTCTCACCTCCCTCCTACCTACCACTCACTATCTTGCTCCTTAATACATCCGCATTACCTACTAATTCTTTTCCAGGAAATAGACCCACGCTATTTATTTTTACCTCTCAGGCAACTCCCATATATTTTGTCTCTTTTTTTATTTCCCTTCTTTACTCCCTCTTTTTCCTCTCTTCCTTTTATTTCCTTCTCTCTCTTCCTTCATTTTTTTCACTCTTTACCACTACCTTGCTATTCTCTTTCAGGTACCTACATGGACAGGAGTCAAGACAGTCCCCTAACCTTCCCAGCAATCGGCAGCTCCCCAACCACTCTACAAATTACAACTTTCTAACCGACAAAACATCCACCTCACCGAAGCTAAAAGCGAGAAACCAGAGGGGATTTTCTCGTCCACTGCAGGAATGAACCGAACAACTCGAACCAAGCCCTAAGGACTAGATGCGAGAGATCAAAAACTATCAGTTTTCTAGGCTCGCACTATCAATATTGGATATTGAAACTGACTTACCTCTCCTACCTGAAACTCTATCCCTGACTTCTGCGTTACTCACGTGGTGACATCACAGAATACGGCCTATACTACGAAGGGAATGGTGGTCAAACACCGGAAGCCTTCTCATGTCTTCCACCTTCAGTGGCCATGTTTCAATACCATACAGTAGAACAGAGCGAACTGCTGTGCAGTACACGCGACCCTTAATAGACAATCGGATATCACGGCGGCGCCACAGGTTACGTAAGTTGGCAAAAGCCAGTCGAGCTTTTTTTATTTATGCGGAGATTTCATCGGCCACTGAGCTACCATGGCTAATTCCACCTCCCAGGTAAGTGAAGTGGTCAACACACTCAACCACTTCACTCTCTATTGTTTGCTGAGGCATCGTTGAAGGACAATCCTGGAGCAAAAATGTGCATTTCGGTGGTGAGAAACGCATCCCAAACATTCTCAAATTGCCACTCAGTGTTCAGAAGACTCTGCATCTTGTCAGCGTCTTCACCTAACAGCACTATGTCATCTGCGTATTCTAGGTCTAACGAAAATTCTCCTCCGATTAGGTCAACCTCTGTGTAGTCAGGTGATGAGAGGGAGATCTCCATTAGAATATCTATGATGAAATTGAATAAGAATGGAGACAGTGTGTATGCTTGACGGACACCACTCGATGAGCATAGCTCCCCGGACAACTCACCATAGGCTCTGACATGCCCACAAGTGTTAGAGTAGACAGTCTTCAATAAAGTGATGTACTTACTCGGCACACCTTTCAGTGACAGAAATTGCCATAAGACTTCTCGATCAACGAAGTCAAATCCCGCCTTCAGGTCGAGAAATACAGCTATTGTTGGGTGTCAGTAAGCGTGCCTGTGTTCCAGAACCTGGTGGAGTGTGAATATTTGATCGATGCACCGGCGGCCAGGTGTAAACCCTGCCTGGTTCTCTCGGGCTTGCTGATCCCGAGCTCCACTCGGGCATCGAAGAATTATAGGATCTTGGACACTGTTCGTCAGGCTGATTTCTCTGTGATTATCACAAGAGGACTTCTTACTTTTTTTGAAGACTGGGATAATCAGTGATTTAGACCGGTCAGAAGGGGTCGTATTTGATTCCTATATACCAGTTAACACTTCCGTTAACCTTACTAAGAGCACCTTACCGCCATCCATGTATACCTCAGGAGTTAGTCCGTCTGGTCTTGCTGCCTTTCCTTGTTTCAAGCTACCTACAGCTTTCTCCACTTCTGCTACTGTTGGGGGGCCTATCTCAATGTTCCATTCAGGATCCGACTGGATAGCGGGCAACCTAATGGTGGCTAGAGGCCAGTTAGACTGTTCCTCAAAGTGTTCTGCCTATCGTTCCAGTCGTCTCCCCCTGCGAGTGTCTCAGAGCCATCCTTCTCCACTATAGTCTCACTAACTGCTGTTGGCTTTTCCCCCCCAGTTTCTTTAATAAGTCTAAAGAACTGTCTACTGTTACCAATCCCCGCCGTCGTTTCCATCTCTTTAGCCTTCGCTGTCCACCAATGTTCGCGGTCGTTGCGAAGATTTTTTTCCCAACCTACTTTTGAGTTGAGGGAGTCACGATAATCAAAGTTACGGCCCCTAAAGTGTTTGACTCACCAGTTTGTCCCATGTGACAACAGCTAACTAACGGGGTCTTAGCGATTATCACCTGTCTTCTTGTATGGAGAATCTTAACTCACTCCCATAAGCGTACTGTCCCTCCTATGCGGTTCCTTCGACGCCTTTCTGTCTGGCTTATGCATTGAAATAACCAACAACAAGCACGTCTGATCGTTATGCTTCCAGTAGGAGGCTAGGTAGGTAGCTTACTATTGAACTCATCTTTTACTTCATTTGAATTACAGTCAACAGTTACCTAAGCAGAGATTGCAAAACGACAATGGCGAGTTTCACTACTCTTTTTAGCCCGCACTGTACCTTTCAGTCGTCAACTAGGATCCACTTGAGCATTGCACTAAATACTATGCATGACCACGAGAACTGTAGCCATTAAGTCTTCAGAAGCTTGAAGGGTGACTTTCGCAGTCTCGCCATATTGGCCGGGTGGGTTTAAGTAAAAAGAAAACCCATTTGGTTTCTGTATGCATGTACACGTCCATGACCCGAAATGCCAGAGTTTTGGCTAGTAAAGCTTGTTGACCGATTTGAAGGAGGGTATAGACATTGAAAGCCCCAATATGTAGATGCTGTTCTACGAACTCAAATCGTTATCAAGGGCAGCAAAGATGGAACAAATTAGTGATTTTGTAGGAGTATTGAACGATAAGCACAAGAAAAGATTAGACGGAAAAGATATATAAGGTTGATAATTTTACGATGAAATTTGATTGCTGAGAGTTGGGAGGGCTGTGGATACACACCGCAAAACACTACTTCTTGTGATAACTGGAAAAATGGGTTGGTAATAGTGTTAAGTGATCGCAGAGCTCAAGTGATATCTACTTGAGGCCTGTCATACACAGCCCTTTTGGGAGTTTGAGACTTAAGTTTATTTGTTTTGAATCCAGCTACAAAACCCATACCGTCTTTACTAGAACACTACAAGATAGGTGGTGTTCTGTTTTGGGGATCAACTTTTTCTAAGCTAGCATCAGTCTTGTACTAGTGGTTATCCCTTGCGTAACACGTAACTGCTGTCACACCCTCGCCTAATCACCCGTACGAATTCGCCTCCACACCTTAATCACAGCGGAATAATTAACACAATAACGGTGACTGCTTTTTATCTTGCTAGTATACAGCAGATCTCTTTGGCATGATAGGACCTCAAGAGAGTAAGTGCTCCACCAGTGTAGCTCGTTAGGTTATTGCGATATGCATGTCAGATCACATCAAGGTAGCAGCTATCGATGGAGATCCACTAATAACGGTAAAAGTAGTCAAATTATCTTATGTTTACATCCCCCAAGATTTGTTATGCTAAAGAAACTCATCTCAGTAGTCTGTTTCGTAATTTATGATTGACACAAACGGTTAAGATTTTTCCTTGTACCCTGTTCTTGTTTATTTTACTGATTTTTCGTCTATTTTTTTGTTGACTGCGAAATTTTTAGTTGGAATGTCTGCTGAGTTACGCTTTTACTTTGTTTCATATTTTCACGTTACTTAAACTTCATCTCTCAATCTAGTAGTTATTTATTTAAAAAAAAGATTTAGTAAATATACTTTCTTAATTTTGTTATTCAAGGTCTACGCTAACAATAAACTCAGATTAGCTGTGCTACAAATTCGGGCTCCTCCATTTTCTGGCTGTAAACAAAAGTATGTCAAAGAGCTTGTAAACTTCTTGAAAACAGTCAAGTTTCAAGCTGTGGTGCTACTTTCTAGTAGTTTTGCTACTGTCCTTAAAGTAAGTTGATTTGAATGTGATTAATAATAGTAGGTTGAATTTATACATTTGGTTATACGTTACAATGTCCTAGTTGCGTTGAACACAATTTCCTAGTCATTATCAGTGTTTTCAGGCTCTTAAATGCACCACCTAGGCTGGCGGTACATTTATTCTGAACCTATTGTTTTTCTATTGTAATCATCTTTCATCATAATTATCAAGATTAGTAAGTAGTGTATGGTTTTATATTCTGTTCTTGTTTACTGTGAAGTTCTCTTCTAATATTAATCAAACTAGGAGGATAAAATGTTTGTTAAAAATTTATAGCCCATGGAAAAGACTATAAAACTACACAGATTGTCAAAGTTACCGAAAAAAGAAGATTTGAACATGATTTGACCGCAAGTATACCACCCATAGTTAGAAGGAAGTAGGTATTTAGTGCATATAAAAATGTAACTGACAATCAAAAGTGTCCTGTTTTGGAAATTGAAAGAAAAATTGGAATTTGGTTTATACTAATTTGCGTATCCATTCATTGACAACAACTCCGACAAATATGTGATAGGTAAGCTTAATCACATATTTGACCGCTCAATTTCCTGCGTAACCACGGATTAGATGTGTTAATCTCTATTATGACATTTATTTTCTTGATTTCTTTGAGTGCTCAGCTTTTAATATCATTATTCTGACTGAACTATAGCTAGTTGTAGATGACTTCGGTACTGAAATAATGGAGAATATTTATAGCTCAGGTGGGGTGGTCTTGGTTGTATTGTGTTCTCTCAGCTGGGTTGTTTAATCGTGAAGCTTTCATCGTCTTGCTAGACGACATCATCAGCACTAACTTCATTATGAAGTGAGCTGTCAATATCTCTCCATGAGTGATTTAGTTTCTTGCTCTGACGATGTGGTCTGCGATTGGTTGTGTCATTGATTGTATAGACTTTCCTGTTGGCTGTTCCTCTACTTGACCTCTGACCTTTCTGTCGTTTATCACTTTTCTTATTGGTTGGTGAATCGCGTCTATGTCTATACATCTGTTGATTGCTGAATGCCAAGCTTCTAGGAATTCTCGGATATTCTTTGTGTTTCCTCTGTCCAAAATTTCTACGTTGTCGAAATTGAATTCATGTCCATAATTGTCCACGTGCATTGAAATGAGTGACGAAATGTCTTGGCGTTTAATAGCCACTTGGTGTTCATGTAGACGAAGGCGAAGAGGGCGACCACTTTGTCCAATGTAGTGTTGACTACAGTTATTGCAGTTGGTTTTGTAAATGATGTTGAGGATTTGGTCAGTGTGTGTTGGCCTCCTGTACACTTGGGTTTCCAGCTTTCCGGTATGTGTCCTACTGACTAAAACATCCAGGAATGGTAGTTGGTTTTTTGACTCTTTCTCTATTGTGAATTTGATGTCATTGAAAACGTTGTTGATCAAACTGTGGGTGTTTTCTATATCATCCTTTTTAATGATGACGAAAATGTTGTCCATATGGCGAATCCAAATTTTTGGTTTGATCACAGGTAGGATGATGTCTTCCAGTCTCTGTATCACTGTTTCTGCAATTAATCCGGATATTGGTGATCCCATTGGAATTCCTTTCATCTGTTTGTATATCTTGCAGTTGAATTGGAAGTATGTTGTCATAGGAAGGTCAATGAGTTCCATCAAACTTAAACATTTGAGTTTTGTGCGTTCTGAAAGGTTTTTGTCTTCATTGATCAGGAGGGATATCGTTTCCTTGGCCAATTGAGGTTCGATGGATGTGTATAGTGCTGTGAAATCGAAGGATATCATTAACTCGTCGTTTTCTATGTTAATGCTTTTGATCTTTTCTGAGAATTCCGTTGGTGACTTCGGTACGGAAGACGAATAGGGATTACCTAGATGCCATAGTTTGCGAATATATACTGTGACACTAAATGTTGGGGATGAGATTGTGACTAACAGTTTATAGAAAAGTTTGTAGCTTAAAAACCCTTCATAGGTATTAATTTCCCACAGAAAAAAGAATGAAGATACCGGAGTACTATTTTTTCCCCTAAGTTCTGTTTGTCTTGCAAGGTACAGAAATGATAGTGTTAACATTACGATGCACAAAGGGGATGCTAAGTACTTTCCTCTCAACTCAGCAGCATAAATGATAAGCTTGAGGTTTATCAAATAAATTAATTGTTAGGTTGTTCAACTATAGGATGAGCTAAATGCACAAGAATTCGCAGTCACTGGACAAATTCAAAGGGTAGGTAGACATATTCAAAGAAGCCGACTCTGTGTATTCCTACTTAACTTTGTTATAAACGTGTTTATAAAAGCTTACCTCTCCTTCTTTCACTTTACGGGGATCAACCATGTCATGCGACACCCAGAGTACATAAATGAAGTAGTACTTTTAGATGAAGACGCTGACAAGATGCAGAGTCTTCTGGACACTTGGAGTGGTAAATAAAGTATGCTTTGGATGTGTTCCTCACCACTCAAATCCAAATCGCTACTGCAGTATTAATTTCTGGTTGAGCTCATTGACCACTTTTCTTTCTTGGTAAGGTAAATCTACCATAGGGGGGGTCAGTGTCCGATAAATTCTCTGCACAGGTACATAAGTCTAGCTTGGCATTTGACAACTTACGCTATCGTTGTCGTTAGCGTAATATCCAAGTCCCTGGTAAAGATCAGGTGTAATGTACAGTAGTTCGCTTTGTCCTGACCGATAGCTGCTACCTTGATGTGGTGGTTGAGCTTGTATATCACGATGACCCAACGCGCTACTCTGGTGGAACGCTTGTTCTCTCGAGGTCCTGCCATATCAGAAAGGTCTACTGGATACTGGTTCAGACAAAAAGCAGTTACCCCTAACATGTTCTTAAACAATGAAATGATGCATTATGGTGGCTTAGACTAGTCATCAGTCGTTAGTGGCAACGCAAAACTATAGGATGTATTCCCAACTGCATCTCCGATACTGGAGGCCAGTTGCCGTGGTATCAGAGAGGCAGTACGTGACCAGCCTCAAGCAAATGTCCCTTGAGTTCTGTAGTCAAACAAATCTTTTTCTCTTTCATATACCTTAAGAAGACCGAGTCTTTCACGGTATGGGCAGCAGAAAAGTGTCACTTGCCCGCACGCTTCCAGTAGTACACAAGACCCAGTAACACTTATCTTCCTTAACTCTGTCTCCTACTTTGCCGTTGCCTCTTGATACTAATATTTGGTGTTTGCCAATTTACATCACCTTTGACGTCGGCGAGATATCCGGCTATCTATCAAAGTATGAGTATACTGTGATGCAGTCTGTTCTATTCTGTTGTGCGACTGTGAGACATAATCGTTAAAAGTAGAAGCGATTACTGGGTTTTGATCACAGATATCTTCTTAGCATTGCTCGCTTTTGACAGAATCACCATGTAAGCAATGTTCAGGTCAGGCGGAGGGTACTAGGCAAGACAAGTAAGTCGATTGACGAGGTTGTGAACTTTCATCGATTGAGATGGCTTGAACATGTACTGCGTATGCCGAGCCACCGCCCACCTCGACGTGCCATGCTAGGGGAAGTTGAATTTGGTTGGAAGAGGGTTCAGAGTGACCAGACCAAGACGTGGCACCAGTTAATGAAGTCTCTAACTCTTGGTGCAATCTGTGTGACGAGATGTATACTACATTGTTGGGGCCTGCCAAACGAAAAGAACCAGTGATTTAGCACTCTTGCTGACAGCTGAAAATCGGTCTTACTGGGACAGATGTATCCTTTCTTTGATGTCTTCTAAAGCTTGAATATTTGTACTAACCTTCATCTTCAATTTTTTTTATTCTCGCTAAATTTTGTCTAATTTATTGTCATTCTGTTTCTATCCACCTGTTTTTTGTATTCTGACCGACAACTGACAAATTCAACGTAAAACCTCACACATAAATACACCAGCTCAAGCCGTAACAATTGACAGTAGTATAAAAAGAACAGGTGGATAGAAAAAAGTAATGTCAAAGTCGACAAAGTTGTGTGAGGAAATGAACGTTCTGAAGGTAATGGTTGACGCAAATGTTCAGGCTTTAGATATTAAGGAGTGAATACATCTGTGTCATTGTGACCGATTTTGAGCCATATCACCAAGAGTCCTCAACCACTGGTTCCTATCGTCTTGATGACCATAGTTATGCAGTCTACATCTCCCCGTATGGTTCAGACCAACAGTCAGACTTAGTCAGCTGCTCCCGCGTCTTGATCTGTCCACCCTGAACCATTTTCCAACCTAATCCCTCTTCCCCTAGCATAGCACATCGAGGTAGGTCGTGACTGCACATGTCCAAGCCATCTCAATCGATGAAGGTTCACAACCTCCTCAATCGACTTACTTGGATATGAGCTAAGCTTATTGGGTGAGGCTTTATTTTACCACCTGGTTGCTCAAACTAAAGTAGTTGAAACAAAATCACTAGAAAAATCATTTATAACAGTCCAGTCCACTCCAGTTTTTTGACTCTTCTGTAAGACAAGTCCAACAATTTTCTTTTCATCATCTTTAAGTTATTTTCAGTCAAGAAATACGGTAACTATTGCCATTGTAGTTTCTCTTTGTATATGACTTATACAGTTTTGCTCTACTGATTAAATATGGGAGAGAAATTGACGCAGAAAGGCAGTAACTGTAGTGTACCGTATATTTTGTCATTAGGTAACTGAGAAAGGAAAAAAGTTCATCAACTAATGTGTACTAGATAAATTCAGTGAATTAATGAATTTGCTTACATCCATTAGGATTAGTGTTTACAAACATTGACAGTTGATGATATGATTAAGATACTAATGCAAGTGAAAACGCAAACTAAACAGAATATGGGCATCTAGAAATGCACCACATAACGTAATATGATGACGTGAAGTCAAAGACTACAATGCGCAAAAAGAAGAGTGAACAGACAATCCGTTCCTTGATATGCATTCAAGAAAGTTTCCTAGTCGTTTGCGCTAATTTTCATGAATAGATAAAGTGAAATAGCTAAAACATGATCACCACTCACTTCGATATTGAGTCGTACGTGGTATCATCTTAAACCACCGAGTTGCATATGTCAGACTCCGTACATAGTGTCTTGGAGTGCCAACAGATGCTAAATCATTGCAGCTAACCTTTATCTTACTGGGCTGCGTCATATATTGATCATTTTCTCCGCTTCTTTTAGTCAATCCTCGGACTGACGAATACTGAACAGTATGACAGTCGCTCGGTCGACATTTGTAACAAGTTCGAAAAACCAAAGTCGATATTTCAAGATGAATCTGTTCAATTAATAACCGTCGGTATCTTGCCCGAATGTGCACTACCACACGTGAAAATTGTTGTCGTAGTAATCACATGGAATGCTAACAGTTCTCTTAAAAAGATGTCTTTAACTTGAAAGGGTCAGGTTTTACAGTCGTGAAAAAAATAACTGGACGTGCTGTTCGTTAGTGTACGCTACTTTGGGTTTCTATACATGAATATAGGTCCCATCAGTCAATTTACTCCGCTAGCACATACAATTGTCCACATACATAGACTTAAAGACTTCTAACGGTTCACCCTCAGGGATGAGTTCAGACACAAACTTCTGCTAATCTTTTACTTGGATGGTGCACTTACTATACTGTCGGCCATTGATCGTCAACTGGTTAAGTTCGCTTTGAGTGATGTGTACATTGTCGCACAGAAAGATGATACCTTCCTAATATTGTAGGTTGAGAAGTCACCTAACGACAGACATACACCACCTTCAATAGCTACCTCAAGAATATCACCAGTGGTAAAATCGAATAAACCTACCTAAATTCACCACCAAATTAGAACAATAAGGAGAAGTGGTTGTATGTGCCCGCTCTAGTTGTGATGTTTTCATTTAGGGCTGTTAGTCTGTCAGTAAACTGCTGAGCAACACTCCTGTCTAAAATACGATTATAAATTAAAGTCCTATCCAACGAATGGAAAAAAGTTCTAATATCAAGAGATAACCACTGCTGGTGTGCAATGTGCGTGACGGCTTCGGGTATCTGGCGAAAATTTAACATCTTGTTAATGTGCCCATAAACTAAAATAAACTCAGTCTACTGTTCCACCAGTAAGCTTTCGTGCGTTTTGCCAAGTATGACCAGACGTTGTTTTGGACACAGCTGGTGGCAGACTCATCTCCTGATCGTTATCATACATATCTTATTGGCCCTTGTCAGAGAGGGGTACAACAGTAACCTTATTCCAGAGTGATAAAACACGCAGTCTGCAATATCTTGGCAAATAATCCAGTCAATTCCTTGACTATAGTTTCGCCTCCATTCTTAGAAAGTTCTGTGGGCGAATAGCAACCAGGCTATGTTAATTTGGTGTAGGGAGGTGATATAGTTCGTTTCTTTATGGGTCTCGATTTAAACACTTTTAAGGCTTTTCTGTACAGTATTTAAATGATAGTCGTTGGGTTCAATACATAGATGTGAGATAATTGCGCAGATGTAGCATGCTTTTGATAATCCCAGTTTATCATATACATTGATATTTGTTGTAAACAACATGAAAAATTCGATAAAATTGAATATGCTCTCACTCCAATGGTTGTCTCGCTTCATGAAGAAAGTGATACCAGTTGTTCAAAGAGTTTAACTATTGTGGTCAAGCATTGTCTTAGACTTCAACAAACATGGATATTTGAAACAATTAGTCCATTTTAGGAATTTAAATAGTGTAATGAGAAGACAAAGTGTATCTGAATAATCTGTGTTTGCACAATACATTATCAAGGTAAATGTAGTGTAAAAAGAAGCTGTTCTTGTACACACGAAGGTGGTTTCAGTTTGTTTATGGCTATCGCTTCTACAAATGTCACGATGCATCCCTGACTGTTTCTACAGAAAACTTTGAACGGTGTTTGAATATTAATTTTGTAACCAAGGTCAGTTGGTAGAGCATCGGGCTGGAAACCTGGTGGTCGCTGGTTTGAGCCCGGCCGCGGTTCAAATTTTCATCTCATGTTTAATCATCACCCGGTAAGCATACTAGTCTGCCAAACCACGGCTATCTCAGATAGTCAGAATGGTTACATTCCTTTGTATTTTCCTATGAAGTTTAGTCGACTAAACTGATTCACTTTTGCACAATTTTCTACATTGATTTGTCTGTTTTTCTATTCTCAGGCCTTAATGTTTTCGCAAATAACTAAGTTATGTGACTGGAATGTTTAACCAAATTACCCAAGCTTTGATTTTAGTCTCATGCATTTGTATTCATCCCTATATATCCTGGATACACATTCCGAATCGCTGATCTGGAATTTTTTGGTATCATTTTACCTAGTAACTGAAAGTTGTATCTAACTCTCATTCACATTATTTTGCTGAGGTGTCATTCAAAATGATTGGTTGGTTATTTTTATAGGATGAAGAGCTTAATGCTTCACCCCTACGATATGCTGTTTCATCATCATTCAGTGTTTCTGATCGTGAACGCTTAGAAAAATTAACTTGTTCCCCTCTGACCATATACAATGACCAATTAGACTACAAACTATCTGTTCGGTACCATCTGCCCGGATGTGGGATTGCTAGTTATTTATTCGAGAAATTAGTTGAACTTCAAGATATACCTGTATGCCTGTTGAATTTCTTCACATCTGAAGGAGATAACAGTGGTGATGCACTTTATGTTGTTCGATATTTGGATAAGTGGTTACAGCTTACTTCTCAGTTGACTGATAACAAATCTGGTTTTAACTGGTCACCTCCACCTTCGTGGGGTTTTCTATTTGGGACTGATCCTATTAACACTTTATATTAATTTCTCATACGATAAAATTTTTTAACAAAGTATTTTTGGTACTTTTTGGGATTACTGTTGAACTAAGTCTCCAGAAGAATCTCTCTCTCAGTGTATGCATAGATATTGATTGTAAGCATAAGCTCCGTTTAAGTTACTCAAAATAGGATACGTGCTGCACTATTTATTCTAGTAAACAACATTTTGGCAATCTTGCTACATTGTCAGGTACTATCTAGATAAATGTCTGATGTGTATAATTGTTAAACTGGAGTCCTTCATTTCCACTGGAATCGATGTGTAAGCGTAGGCTGTATTCAGAAGTATTCCAGTAAGGTGTTTGGTGTTGTTTATCGGGGAATTAAAATCGAGTATTGATAAAAGCAATAAATTCACATTAACAAACATTCTCTTTCTCGCTGTCCGAGCATAAAGTGTTCGTACCCTCTGTGTTTGTACTGGATATTCCATCTTCTCCCTTGTTGAATCTTCACCAGACGACCATTATCACTTCCTGTTTTCACATAGTCTTTATGAAGTTAGTGCTGAGGATATCATCAAGCTTGGTATCAAAGCTCATAAAACACTAGACTATCCTCATCTTGAGCTACAAATCTTTTCTATCATTCTACTATGACTTGGACTGGTGTTAATTGTCTAATGCACATGATTCTGGTGATTCACTCCTAACGCTGACTTTGCACGTGATTAGTCTCGCATACATTTGGCGCGTATATTTGATGCTCAATTCATTCAGAAAATGGGTTACGCAATTTCATCCTCCCTACCGTGTACAACAAAACACAGAATCTATTGCGTGTTGTTCGTCAATCTGAATCATTTTTCCATCTGTATACAGCCAAATTACGTGACCGTAATCCACTATAATTTATAGAAAAGAAAACTAATTTGATGCACGAAAAATGAAATAATACACAATAATTGATATCAATCAACATTCAACTATTTTCTAACTATAAGCCATGTAGAAATTAGGGAGGAGTCGATCGAATAACTCTTGGACTGAGTTGTACAAGGATATTACCGAATAAGTCATAGGTAAAACAACTTTTAAGATAAATACTGTGGCCGATAATACATGAGATCGAAGTTTACCACTTTTCAACCGATATAACATATTCCTATAAGTAGCGTTCACCACGGTAGGAAAATAATATACTAAGATTTGTAGAAGCCTGTGAGTTTATAATAACCCATTTCCAGTAAATATTTGTACTTACCCAATCCACTTCTGTTAGGAGTCGGTTCCAGGAGTTGATTACTCGGAGCGGAAACCAGTGCTCTTCAGAGACGATATTCGTCCTCTGCTTTTTATTCCCTTGTTATATCCTCTGAGGTGTCCCAACCCAGTGGGAAGGGAAAGAGAAGATAGATCAGATCAAAAGTCACCTCTTAAAATCTTGTAAAGCATGGTCAGATCTCCCCTCTATCTACGATGGGATGAAGAGAAGAGGTTCAACTCCTGAAGTTGTTCTTCGTAGTTCAGGCTAGCCATCGGAGGGATTATAAGAGTGGTTGAATTCTTTCCAGAAGGTCTGAGTCACCCTTCAGATAAGGACTTGCCACTTTTGCACAGTTTTCTAGTTTAGACCTAACTAAGAATGTGCGTCAGGTAAGCGTTCTGTCCTAAAACTCTGGACCGTGATCAATCGAAAGTGCGCTATGGTCTTCAAATCATAATCTACTATTAGGTCATTGTGACTCAGTACTTTGGCTAGAGGATTCCCACCAATGTCGTACGTGCTCACCCACTTACTTGCATTGACCTGGTAAAAAAGCTGTTTAGGTCTGTCTGAAGTGCACGTACATCTGCGTAATCCCTAATTTCTCAGAGTAGAGAACCATGGGGGATTTCGTGACGTTCGGCAGCCTATTTATGTAGAGAGGAAATAGCAGAGGACGTAGGACTGTGCCTTGGAGTACTCCACTCTGTAACGATTTCGAAGAGAAGAGAATAGGTCCTTACTTTTTGTCTGCTACCAACAAAGAACTTTCTGATTCTTGCAAGTAGATTTCCAGCCCCATGAGCAAGTTGGAATGAAGTACCTTGTCGAACGCCTTACTAAAGGCTATGAAAATGACATTTACAGGTATTCTGTAATCCTTAGGATCATTTTCGTCTTTACAAAATATCTTCGAGTCATTATTGAGTATATTCACGATGCGAAATCTGTTATTCTTTTGCTAACAAACCAGTCATCTCCCAACAGAAAACTGCACAATCAGAAGTATTTAGTTGAGGGGATAATGTGGTTAGCAGAAAAATGAATTGTTCAAGTCTTGATCCAGTAAGAAATTGCTTGATACACAGATATCCCCTTATTATCTATTCATCGAGGATACAAAGACGGTCTTGATTCTATGCAATATTTAAAACTGAATATCTTTGTTATTTTAACACTGAACTGAACATCTAGCATATATGTTATAGGCACCGCGATGCTCTGAGACAAAGCAGGCTACTGAGATGAAATATAGACCTCTTAGTAAATCGAATACTCGATGGCTGTGTTTAAAACTTACACTATTGGTTACCTGTATCTTTTTTCCTCAGCACCAAAGTGTTCTGTTGCTTTTACTAACCATATATGTGATTTCTTAGCTGTTCTTACTCTAACGATAGCAAACTTTTCGTCTGGCTATTGATGACCAGCGGTTTTTAAAGTCTTATAACATTACACTATTCACAAATCAGTTGGAAACCTTGTGCTATAACTTTTGTGTAACATTCCAATAGGTCAATACTTAAGATCAGCTATTGAGTAGAAATGATTGAAAATTTCTGGGAAGCGTAGAAAAATAAAGAATCGCGTATTTTTATGCTGAACTAAGGAACGGTTATCACTTTTAGTATACCGTTTGATATATTTCCTCGGGTTGTAATGTTGTATTTTGGTGATGATCTTCATTTATTAAACGAAAATTAGATTCATTTGTTTACTTAATAATCAGCTAAGAAACTGAAGGTGTGGCTGGATCACAAAAATGCTTTGATCACACATGGAAAAACCGAGTGACAGAAGGAATTATCAATTGCTTTTATACTCAACTAAACACTAAGTGTGAAACTTTGGAATCAACTTCTGTCATCCTACTAAGGTGTAACTGTTTAATCTTATGGAATCCTGGTAGCACTATGCAGCAGTATTTACTTTCGTATTAGGTTTGTCTTGTCTGCATACATGACTAACTTTGGACAATCTGATAAGACATGGAATAAGTAATTTGAGAGTTGGGCTCTGTGAGCTAAATTTGTCAGAGTATACCGCTGATAAGCTCGGCTGCAAAAAAGTGAAACGGCCGTCCGGTGTTTAAGTCACTCTGATCTGGTTAACGAACTACTACAAACCAGCCTGAGTGGTTTCTAACCACTCAAGTTGTTCAGTAGTAGCATCTTTCGCTGATAAGACATGCTTATCCCTATTTATCTTTCTTTGAGCCTTGTCAACAGTTGCTTATTATACAGTGATTGGTCACTAGAAAATAACCAATTTCATGTAATCTAGTACTTGCTACCGATCAAATTGGTTACTGAGTCTAGAAGCCTCACCATCGCGATGCACTTTGATCGTCCATTATTGTAACTGGTTCGTTTACACTGATTTATAGTAAACATCGCATCTGTTTTCGAATGTATCTGAATTTGTTGAGTGAACTTGACTGTTGACAGCATAGTATTTGTATTCAAAGCCTGTAATCATATTAGTATTCAATCTGTGAGCACTGTACAACGAATTCCAATCACCTCGATATGACTATGGATAATAGATTATGTTCGAAACGCAATCCAGTAAATAATACTGTTCCACTTGGGGATAAATCAACTTAAATGGAGTTCCAATCTTAGTAGACTGTATAAATAAACGACATGCTAAGAATATGAGCAGTCTTCCTTGAAATCATACTTAAATGGAGAGTCACTATCTTCAAGACTCCGTGGGGAATAACAGTTTTGTCCTCAAACGTGTACATATAGTGATAAATAGTGGTTTTCTTAATCGGTGTACGCTGGGATATGCATTAATCGAAGGCATAGTGTATGCACAAAACAGTATCTATCGCTGATACTTGGAGTAAAAGTCTCAAAGTTAACACGGTGAATTCAACCAATTGGCTTTACATATATGATTGTTTTTGGCATGAAACATCGAAAGTGATTCGTTCATGCGATAGAGTTGTAACTCAGTGGTTTAAGTATATGCTTTTCAACCAATGGGTTATGGGTTCGAGCACAGCTCCACCTACCGAAGTCTGAGCAGCCAGGCAGAATCATTTACTGTCACATGATAGGTCTGGCTCACTACCTACTTCACAAAGCTGCTGAAAGGATTTCGATATGAAACTAGAGTGTAGATAAATGACTTATTCAGTCTAAAAACTGAAGTTGAAAATATATAACCAATGTATACTAAATTATGAAAAAATGCCACAATTAAGCAAAGTGAGAAACGTTTATGAATAGGAGCAAAAAGATGACGTTAGCAGCTCTGTGAGTGTATGAAAATTGTTCGGGAGTGATCCATTCGTAGCAGTTGTATTTTAGGAATATTATATACAATGGATTCATTATCGTGACACTAACTATCACTGCTACTTATCTGCACTTTGAAGAATTTAACCTTATTTACCCATATTAATCATCAATTATAAAGAATCTGCTATTTTTAATGTAGATCACTGAATAAAAAGAGGAATCATGAAATAATGCAGTACATAAGTACGATATTATTCCGAATAGTGGAACTAGACTGAGTATTATCTAAATTACTAGCTATTTAAGTGTGGTCGTGGTACTCAATGATTTGTTGAAGCTAATACCTGAGACGACGGAAAGGGATAAAACATTAGCACTAATAAATAGAGAAATAAACAAGTTGAAAAAACTATTGGAGAATAAACTGACTGATAGCTTTGCTTATAATGAAATGAACCCTAAGATTTCGCACCTACTATTCAGGTTTAGCTTATAGGAAACCCAGAAGTTGGATATCCAACTGATA